TTACACATCACTCTGGACCGTCATCATCACTATCCATTGATATCAATTATAAATTATGGAATGAATTAAAGCATAATAATAAAAGTGGAATTGATATTGTTTATCATTTTTGAACGCATTCTGTGCAATATTACCAGATTATATTGCACTGGTCAAATTTGATCTTTGTCACTTTTCCCTACTTTGACTTTGAATTGCTAGAGTCTTCTGCTGTGGTGAAAAAATAAACTAACTTTCATGTTGTCTAATAATATGATTTAAATGACAGCTCACCTGAATAGTTTTTAACTTTCTAAACATAACATCTTATGCAAGTGTTGATCCATCATATGGTCTTCATATCAAAATTTGTTTATTTGGCCCAAACAAAGCTTAATCGAATTTCGTTCTAAAAAGCTCGTATAAAAATGATGGTGATATTGTGTGTGCCTGTTTATGTACTCCATTCCACTTTCAATTTCGAAAAAGGAAATTAATGATCTTAGTGATCATGATGGATGCTCTCTGCTGCCTATTGAAATGATAAATGGATTAAGTTGTAGCACAAATTGCTTGGTGTCATGGTAACCAATCGAGGATTATAGTAATACGAGAAGAAAGAACCAAGTGAGGTATACAATCAAAATCAACAATTCTTGTTTATAAACATTAGCTAAGCGTTTCCACATGAGGAAGTAATTTTTCCAAGAATAAAATGATTATATTTCTGAGGAAGCTTGTTCTTTTACTATCTACAAACAGCTGAAATTTACAGTAACTTTACCGAACATTAAAAATGCCAATCATCGAATGGATCACAGTATGACAGTAAATCCTTAATTTTACAACCAATATTACAGCGATAATGCATCATTTCAATCATTGACAGCGGTCGATAAATATCTTCTTCTTTTCAACTTTGTTTTCCTGAAATTAGTATTTATGGTTCAATTGATTTATTTCGTGAATAATTTTGTTGCCTATGCTTTTTTAGAAAGAGAAGTAACTTTATCTTGAAAAGAGGAAAAATGTAGCACCTTGTGAAGATGACGATCGCTTTTTCTTAACTACGCAAGATAACAAAGCGGGCATAACTTCATGATTCCTTTCCCCTCATTTTTTTCTTGGATGACTAAATTACATATAATACATATTGGTAAGTAATGGAGGATTGATATTACAAAGTATTTTTTTTTCATCATCTACAATTGATTAATGCTAAAGATCAGAATTATGTGGGGATTACGTACTACGTACTACGTTTTTGGGATTACGTACGTTTCCGTCAAGAGAATTTGTTCTATTTAAATTGTGCTCACGAATATTTTGATATGATGGCAATTGTGATGAGCGACTAAATCTAATTTCATATTCAACCATTTAATTTTTTGAATTTATTCAAAAAACAATAGTTACCTAAAATCTTTAATAATCTAGTATAATATAAGATGTAGTATAAATCCAACATCTATCAAATACAAAAATTAAAAAAAAATTTACCCGAGTTTTCCTCCCAGTGTACAAAATTTAAAAAAAAATTTTTTTGTAAATTTCCACATACTTTATACGCCTTCTATTCGCTCGTCCTGGTTGCGCCGCTCAAGTTTCAATCATGTTTTTATTCCATAAGTAAAACAGTTGTTCAGTAGTTACTCATTAAATCTATAGTTATAGAATTTCTGCATTTGTGAAAATTTGCAGGAAAGAAGTCCTCACATTTCTACCCACTAATATTATTTTTTCAGTTTACAAATCTACAAATGTTGATTTGTAAACCACCATCACCATCATTTGTCCAGTCTTTGAAGATGCCCTCTGCTCTGAACAACCAAATAGCCTCTTCATCTGACCAACATTAGTAGTTCATGCTATTGTAATAATTATAATTCCGTACAGTTTCATGCAATATATCATGCAGTAGCTCTCCATAATGATAGTTTCTCTTTTTTAACGATGATAATACTATGATGACCCTCAGCATTGTTGTTATGCTCAACTCCATTCAATATTAATTGATAAGACTGCGAAGTCCCATTGAAACAGTAACAAAGTGATGCATGATAACTGACCAAAATATACATATTATGTTTTGACTATATTACTTGTTATAAAACTTTTTTATATTCATTTAAATTTAATACTACTCTTTAAAGGCTAACGCCGATATGTGATATTGATAATTTGCAAAAGGTAATCCTTCATATTTTTAACACTAATTTCTCTCACAAATTTTCAAGAAATAAAATTGAAAAGAAGTATTAAGAGTGGAAAAATTATGATGCCAAATTGATATAAAATGGTTGAAACATTCCAACAAAATATGCTTCTGAAGATTGGTTTCTCTCATTTATGCAATATAGAAGTCCATATGAGGAGTATTATGAGTTTTATCAATTCGTCGTCCCCTGTTCTCTTTTCTGTCGGCGTAAAATCATACTGGACATTATTTCGCATTCATTTATTTTATTGCTAATATTTTTTCTTTTCTTTTTTTTAAAACATTATTTCTGTGGATTAAAAGGCATTCAACAATCCAATTAATACTAGAAGCCCATCATTTATCTTTAACTTCAATAGAAAAATTCTCGGAAGCTCATTTTGTTCACCTTTTAATTTAAATATTTCACTGATAGCGGTAAGTTTAGAAATTTTCATTTCATCACAAATAAATTTTTTTGATTCATCACTTAAATAAAACGGCCAACTAATTATTATAAGTTTTCAAGTGGGAATGTCAAGTAAGTAAAGTTTCATATTTCGAAGTATGACATTCTCCTTTAATCAATGCTCGACTTGACTAATAAATGCTTTGCAGCTAATCATACAATATACCATTTTAACTGCTCCATTTTTTATAATAAAATGCAATTTTAAGTGAATTTTCGGAAAAAGTTTTTGAAATAAGTAAATGTTACAAAGATTTTCGGTATTTGCAAGCAAATTTTTTTAAACATGATGCAGCGGTAGCAAACATTTTTAAATCTTCAAATGCCACCAAATCTTAAGATGAATTTCAACGAAGATTTGTTTTGATAAAGCAGTACAGTGCTATTGATTTCATTATGAATTTGAAAATAGTGGTTCACAACTGATATATCCGATAAAATAAGTAATTAATTAATTCGATATTGTTCTGAATCATCCAAAGTATGAGTTAGCAAATGAAGAATGTTCAGTTACAAGAATTTTTGTATTCAAATAAGTCGAAGCTAGTTCAGGTTTCAGTAAATTTTGGACCAAATCATTGCGCCAATGAAATAGATGAAAAGTTTTGAAATCGAGATGAGATTGAGTGAAATTTCGCTGACTTCATTTCGCTTTCCAAAGATCACTTAAATAAAACATGCGGAAATTGCTATAAATGTTTGGTAACGTTTGGTAAAGTAGTACGGGCGTGGTACTACTTTTTAGATTACCCGCCTCTAAAATAAATAAACAAGTTAATTATTACAAATGATGAGAAACTTTTTCGACAACTGCACCCTTTATAAAAGGAAATAGATAAAAATGGCAATGTTTTGAATGTCTTTCAGTTTAGCTCCACCTGTTTTTTCTGTGAGAAAATGTAATTCAGTTCAATGAAATTTTTCTAATCACTGAAATGTGCCCTTTTAATGATAATTTTATTCACAGTTTGACAGAAACACTAGCCAATTTTTAATCATTTACCTCATATTCCATCAGAATAGTGTTCTCAATGGTGGCAAAAGCTTTATTTTCGTTTAAAAAGTTCGAACAATGAAGGGCTCATACGGACAATAATGACGTGCGATCTTGCCAACTTAAAAGTCTTCATAGCTTTTTAAATGTCTCATTTGAAAATCTTTTCATTTTAATATCTGATGAGGGGATATGCTCAACTTATAGCCTTCTGGTACTACTTGAGTTCCATTAATTTCATTTTAATGCTTTGAATGGATATATAGCATTCAGACTTCATCGCTTCGTATTAAGAAGATTAGCGAGGTGAAATAAGTTAAACAGCAACTTTAAAGTATTGATAAAGCTGGGATCACAGGTCACGATAATCTGAACAAATTAACAAATTTAGTTTCTTCTCCAAATCCTCAATTCCTCTTCAATTTTATGAGAAACGTAATTCTGGAAGCAGAATAGTTGCAACAAAGCAACGAACAAACTAATGAAAAAGAATTGTATTAAATCAATTCTTTATTCCTTCCTCTTACAGTCTTTCAAGCGCAATCGAAACATCTACATTCAGTTGCACTAGGAATTCTCATAACTCGATCACCACCTTCACATGCTACCTTCGCTTTTACCTAAAGCAACATTTGATTATATTCAAACACAGAATACCGTCTTGATATTTCAAAACAAACAAAAAGAAATTATGCTATATTAATACTAGCCTGACTTTAAGGAAGTGTGATCTTTTTGACCAGTAAATGCAGGAAGCATACAGTTTCATAAAAAGTTAACAAAAAGTAAGCCTTTACTTAGTTTGATTACAACTTAATAATATCGGGTCACCCTAGTATAATAATTGGAATGTAAGATCTATCCATCTACGTCGTAAAGCAATAGAAGTAAAATCTAAAGAGAAATGAAAATCACTTAAGTTCCAGATTTAAAATTTGTCCCACTAATAATTTATTCAATTGCCAACTTTATAAAAAATAAACATGAATGCGAAAGTATTAGTAGAAATAAAAAAGCATTTAAAAATTGGTAAGGAAAGTTTTTTAAACTTTTTCGAATTTTTTTTATCATCAAGACCGACTAACCACTTGTAAATCAATCTTGACATCCATCTCACTATCTTTTTCATTGACTATTAACCTATTG